CAAAATGCTGGGACTAGGGGTATATGAGTGGGGATACATAAGCTACTTTTGCCCCAATAAATGCTGTGAACATCAGTACGTATACTACCTCCGACGATGGAAGCTTTTTTGGTTCCTAAACGTAGGGACAATAAATCCCTGGTTTCTGTGATCGCCCTAGCTTCTCAATTGATAAATATGCACACTGTGTGTAAATAATTTTCGTGAATTAAGGATATCCAGCCTCAAAAGTTTTCTAACCGCAGTTTCGTCTCTTCATGTGTGTCGTTGCGTCTTTTGGAAGCCACTGTTGTAAGTGCTTTGTGAGTAAAGAGAAACACCAGTTAATCTTTAGTTAATCGACCTAGCAAACTTACTGACTCGACAGGAGTATCAAACACCGGACGGTGAGTAACGTAACGCCCGTTTAAGCGAGTTATACTTGAGTTTTCTGAGAATAAGATTGTGGTTAAGAGTTCTAACGTTGCATAATAAGTTAAGAAAATAAATTCAGTAGCTCAGTGGTAAAGCGTTCGCTGCGCAAAAGCCTTCTATGCTGTGTGAGTTCGACTCCCACGGAGACCGCGAATGTCCACAATTGGGTCAAATGGATTAAGGAAATCTGCCGACCCCCCTCCCCTAAAAAGTAAATACAAACAATAATCTACTAAATTATTAATAGAAATAAGGACAATTGAAACCGCGCCTTATAATTTTCCCTTAAGGGAATATCTGCAAAACACGTACGAAGTTAAAGGGAAGCCAAAACGGGTGATACATACAAAGGAAGTTGCCAAAAACCTTATCACTAAAGAAACTAACAGTTTTAATAAGACCATTTATAAAAAGAAGGGAATAAATTACGCCTTAAACGCTTAATAACCAAAACTAATATGTAGTTGTGCACGTCTCCATTTTGGAGGGAAGCGGGTCACGAAATTGTGCAACAAACTTCATTATAAAAGCAGAAAATTTTCATATTTGCCTTATTATGTCAACGAACTGAGGTGACTACAATAACAATTATTTTTTATTTTCACACAGTTCCAGTTCAAACCCACTTGGGTACGACGACGGAATCGACATTATAAACTTGGCTGAAAAACTAAAACAAAACATTCCACTTTGATTTCCTTCGCTTTTTGCGAGCGTTACGACAGTCATAGGGCTAACGTATTTTAGTTCTTTGATTACCGACAATAAAAGCAAAACCCAGTTAACCCAGTTATAGTCCGACTTCATATTTATTATCTCTTCACTTCAACTTAACTTAGGAGTCATATTTTCTGGAGCTGCTGAAAGGAAACGACGAAATTGACCTGCATATCTAACGAATGTGGTAATTATCTTAATTTCCCCTGACCACAATTTAACATAAGTCAAAACGTCGCCGAAATCCACTTTAAATTTGTTTCCAATTTTCATATTTAATGGCGCCGTAATGCTTCTTAACTTTCAGAAATTTCGTTTCAACTGATGTCATTTACAATTTAGGATACTGTGCTCATCGTACTGCTTCGCTATTCACGAAAACAGAAAGTTGTTTTCTTAGTATAACACACTAAATGAGTGGGCCTCAATGTCTTATTATAAGCAGAAGACGGTCTTTGCCTTGAACTTTAGGTGGAAGCTTTATGAGAGTACATATGTATCTAAGCTTGTCCGTTTTGATAAGATTATGCCTAATTAGAATTGCAAAGTGTCGATAAAATTGACATTCTTGGAAATTCTATAAGCGCGGAAATCTAAATAACTGAGTAAATTTTGAGCATATGTTCCTAAGACCTCTTCCGCAAAGTGAGTAGCTCGCGTAGACCGGTGAGTAATACTTATCATTCTACCAATTAAGTCGTGTGCAAACCAGACGAAAATTGTATTCAATCGTAATTTGTAGGAACCTTCGAATAAGTACATTTTTCTTCTGTGACTTTCATGTGGTCTTAAGAATAATGTAAAATGTGCCAATGAGGTCTTCTATGAGGCCCGCATTTCATTACGCTGCAGAATATTATTTTTATCAATGTTACTTGACAAAAATTGTGAGGACCGAGTATTTCAGTGTTTCCCCTGCAGCAAACGTCCAAGGTCAGGTTTCTCTTTATCAACAAGGCTGTCGCATTAACACAGTTAGTCAGTGGTGCATTCAGATATATCCTACAGGCTTTCTGACTGTTTGAATTGGACAGGTATAGTAGCTAGTCATTGTAGCGAAATTCTTAGCCTTGCTTCCTGCCATTATCAAAGAGGGTAGTTTTTTGAAAAGCAGCAATGGTATTTATGGTTTTCACTGATTGTGCCACTGAAAATATAAAAAAGTATTCATACATCGTTTTGCTATCTAGTTTGGAATTCTACGAATTATATATGGGTGTTTCCGATGTCGAAATGGAAAAGCTTTGTTTTGAAAGTCAATTTAAATCCAATTTAAAATTCCTACCTAGGTTGCATTCGACAATTTTACTTAAAAGCCGTAAAATGAGTCAATAGTGTTGAAGGAGAATAATGATATTCCAGCTGATATACCAGTCTTCAATGACAATTGTACTTCTTGTCGATCTCCAGGGATTACTGGAGCTGTGCTCCTCGTTTACCTTGAAACATTTTTGTCATTCGGATTACGGACACTGTACGCATAGTTTCATGTTTACCTCCAATTATTATGAAGCATCCTTAATTCTCTGGGTGAAATGCCCCATTTTAAGGAAACTAGGCGAAACGTTGACTGCGCTGATTTTATGAATATTCGGTATGCGCGAGAGTATTTTATACATTTACTTATATTATTTGTAACTGTCTAGTACATTTTATCTGTTTAACGCAGACCTTTAATAAAACATTAAGATTGCGTACCAAAACGCGATGGGCAAGCGCCCTTCCGCAATTCCATACACAGCTATTAAATTGCTTTGGATTAACGGAACAGCACCATAATTGAAACTTATTTTTTACTCATGAAGTATTTCTTTCCCATTCCCTCAAAAAAATATAATGGTTTCAAAATTAACTATTAAGCGGATGAAAAAATTGTGATAACGGCGTTCCTTGAAAGAATATATTATTTCATTTTAATAACATTTATCTTTGCAATTCTATGTAATATGTGTACACACACTATAGTATTACCGAAGGGTGGCATAGTAAATATCGGTAGGTTACAGAAATCCGATAAACGTACTAAAAGCCGAGTGAAGTTCTCTTTATACGCTTTCTTAATGGTACTATATCTCCCTTTACACTATTCCAGAAGTAAGCTAATCAAAACGAATCTTCTTCTTTTCTTCTTTTGTAGTTACTCAATCCAGTGCGTACTGCCAATCAACAATTTTGTGGAAAAAATCTACATATTCCTATGGTTTTGGTTCGTCATTCTCTGTTGTCTGACTACCATGAACACTATTCAATGGACAATTAACACGGCCTTGCCTATGAGACGTGTTTACTACATTAAGCAGTACCTGAAAGCCCTCCGTCTCATATCCAGCACGGAGGAGCGTGACTGTACAAGGTTCGTGAATAACAGCTTGGGCGCAGATGGCATTTTTATCCTACAAATTGTCTCAAAAGTTGCCAGTGATCTCATTGCATTGGACGTTACCGCAACTCTGTGGAAGAATTACCGTCGAGCCAAGATCACGGGCACCGAGGAGGACGTCAATCGTCTCCTCGAGACAGTCAATCGTGGCTCAAGCGCAGTCTAGCATGACAACTGTCTATATAGCCGCTTCTCTTGACGTTTATATATGCACAAAATATGTACAATATGTCCCGTCCTTGTTCCTAAGTCCTTTCAACTAAACTGTGGGCTATTTTCCTCTTCCACCGCACTTTTCAACTCATGACGTCCACTGCTAGAAGAGGTAATTAGGGATTAATTTTCTCAGTGTTCTCCTACCTCACAGAATATTCTCCCGGCATTTTATTTGTATAAGGATTTTGAAATCGCAATTCCCCCGTAATGGCATATTTTCACGCAAATGCAGGCGCCTACTGAAAAAACTGGACGAAACGGAAAAGGAAAAAGGCAGAGTCTTGTGGGTAATCTCAGTGTACTGGGGAATTAAAAGTAGGCTCTTCCTCTTCTTTCCCCCTCCTCAAATTGTTTCTATTTTCCCAGTCTTCTCTCCCTCCCTCCACCTTCTATCGACAGCAGAATCCTCTGCTCTGTTTGTTTGACGGTCTGTTTGCAACAGTTACCGGACTCACTCCCTCCCTCTCCCTCGGTCCACATTGTATGCAACTTTTCGACGACCACCCAGTTTGAAATCTCGCGTTGCTCTCCACCGCAGACCGCATCAAATTTTCGTTGTAAAGACAGAAAATTAACCTGTCTACCAGCATAATTGCTGTTTTTCCCAAAAGTCACGCGGAACACCGTAATGCGATCACAAAACGGACGAAAAACGCAATGACAACAACAAATAGCGAAGTAA